GATTAAGTCAAATTGGATATGGACATTGATTTGTATCACTTTTTAAAAAATCTGGCCTAAACAAATATAAATTCTTTATTTTCCTCCAATCACCAAATACAATATGCTGCTTCCCATACTGAAACAAAAATCTGTTGTTTCAAAAGAGTATTCTTTGTCAGATTATTTTTACTGCTTGTTGTACCTAATCAAGTATCTCTACTCCTTATAAACGCACAAGTTAAATAAAATCATGAGAATGTGAAATTTTAAAAGTTATAATCATGCTTCGTGACTAACATCAGAAAACAAATATAACTTAGTTTTTGCTAGGCATTATACCTTTAGTTCTATTCTATCCATTCCATTGGTTTCGCAAAAGAAAGGGAAAAAAGGGATACTGTATATTTAAAACATATGTATTATGTGAAAGAATAGAGACTGCAGATGTAAAATAGTGATATATCGCGAAAAGAACATTTGGAGTCTGATTTTTCTCTGGAAGTAAAAGAAAGCATAATTAGTTCTATTTAAGCCCGGAATTTTAATTTTCTCCATACTCAGGCTGATGTCATTGTTCCAATTTTAACTGAATATATGGTTGCCTTGAACACTTAATGAGTGCTTCCTTTGGGCCAGGCACTCACTGTTTTAACTACGTTAAATAATTTAATCTCCGCAATGAGCTTTTGAGGATCTATGGCACAGATGAGGAAAATGAGTTATAGGAAAGTTAAAGAAATTACAGAGGTTACGAAGTCAGTAACCGGCTGGATCTATATACGAACCCTGGCAGATTGGTCGCATAACCGGAGCTCTCAAGTACGCCACTTCTCTGATGTGAGGATGGGTATAAAGACCCAGTCTTTATATCTATGTGGGGGAGGGCAACAGGGGTAAAAGGGCACATGTGTACGGTGACAGATGGTAATTAGACTTTGGGTGGTGAACATGATTTAGTCTACGCAGAAGTCAAAATATAATGACGTACACTTGAAATTTATGTAATGTTATAAACCAAAGAAAAAAAAAAGACCCACTCTCATAATTCCACGGCAAGCTATGAGTCCAAAGGAAGTGCATGCATACTTTGAGAGTAAAATTAGAAAATGATATCTTCTGAAATTCAAAGTTCCAATTTATCATAAACTCTAAATGGATAAAATTAGTGATGCTTAGAAAAATCTATCCCGAAAACAATAAAACTAGAGTATTTTTCAAGTGTTTACTAAAGACGCCACAATCCAACTGGGTGAGCAAGTTGTGCTTCACGTACACTGTAAAAGAAGTTGAACACTTTTCCCTGGTCCTGTAATCTGTCTGAAGTTGGTTTATTAACTTTCTTCAAAATTGTCTCAAAGGAGGGTTGTTGGTTTGCATGACGTATTGGGGGTGGGTATCAATAATTTAAAAGGCTTTTCTGTGTTTCTAGGAGGGCCCAGAGCGGGTGACATTAAGATGACCTGATCTGAATATGTTGATCTGTGCAGGAGGCAGAGTAGCCTTATACGAAATGAGGGTGCATGAGGCTCTCTGTGTTATCACTAACACTGACGTTGATCTGATGCCCTTTACGTCCTCAACCAGAGTTCTCAAAGTATTTCTATTTTTCCCCCTAGATATCACTCAGAGGTATTTCAATTGATTCAGTTACTACATTCATGTTTTAAATTAAGATATTGATCTTATTTTCACATCAGTCGGTGAGGAGCTCATAAGCCATAATCATTTTCCTATAGAGCAGGCCTTGAGAACATTTATATAATTGAGTTCAGGAGCCAACAAACCTGAAGACCTCTGTGCCTGGAAGCTTTTAAGGGCTTTTCAGTAAGTTTTCTTGAATGTGGGTCACACTGCTTTTGTCAGTAGGTTGGGAAGAATTGCCTAAAGCAGCTACTTAAAAACGTTGTTATGGTTCTAAACTGCCATGGCACTGCTTTACAATAAATAACAGTATTACAATTAATAAGAACTATTGACATCTCTCTGAAATTAGAAAGGAATGGAAATGTGAAAAACTTTAAAAGATTTTAAAAAGGACATAGATTTAAAATTAACTTCAAAGCAATGTAGTATGCCATTTGCAAACTACGTTAAATATTTTCATTTAAAAGGAAGGCAGTATTCCCCCATATTAGATATATTAGCACACTTTTATAAGCATTATGAAAACATAATTTCTACGAAGACTTCCTGCAAAGCAAGCAATTTAAGTTCTCAAGGATTGTTTCTAGCTCTCAAGCTCAATTTTAATTGTGAGAGATGAAAATTACATTATTCAATGTCAAGTATTTCCTAAAAATAATTCTAGTGTAAGCCTGAATTTTTGAAAAACTACCTTTCCCAGTAGTTTCAATGAGTCAATATTTTGTTGTTATAATTTGAGAAATAATTATCTGTACACCATTTCATGACATAATTAAAAAATATAGATTTCCCAAATCTTTAGCTTAATTCAAGTGCATAGGAGTTAGAATTCACTTCAATCAACAAAAGACTTTTCTACATTGTCTAATATTAAACAACCCCTTTGCCTATATATGATTAAGTATATTTATATAATTACAAAATATTCATATAGCTAATTCTAAAGTTATTTTTCTATAGCCTGAGATTCTTAGGGCTTATTTCATGACCTTTGATTGATGAGAATAACTATCACCTTGTAACATTGGTTGTGTATATATAAAATTGGTGCCTTGTTTTGTCTTATTTCACGTTCTCATGCCTATGAAACAAGCACTCAGAAGTAGCTACTACTATTATTAAATTTAACATTAATGTTTAGCTAACTTACAATTCCCCATTTGATATTTTTCCCTTTCATTTTATTTTTTGTGTGATTAATTCATGCTTCCACATTACCAAGCTAACACTACATTTTAATTTACTTTCCAAAATATCTACCCAAAATATAATGATTATATACAGCCTGCTTATCATATCTTCTAAAATAACTAAGAAGCCATGTATTACTATTAGATTTAAGGGGAGTAGGCAACTTGACCTTGAATCATTAATAATAGATGTCTCGTTTTTATATGATTGTAAGCCATTTCACAGTAACTGACACCAAGGAATTTCCTTAAAATTCAGCAGAAGATAACATCATATCAAAAGTGGAAAACTCTTATTATATAAGAAACAAGCCAACTTAGTAAAGGAAGGATTCAACATTTGACAAGATAAGATATTTAAAATCTATAGTCATCTGTCTTCCTTTTATAAATTATAACTATATATTATATGAAGTCTTAAACCTTAAAGTATGAAGCATACTTTTAATAGACACAATTGTGTTATTTACTGAACATACATATAAAATATATTAGACATTTTCATACTCAGCTTCTGCAATCTACACATCTCCCCAAATTTTCTTCTAAAACTGTGATTTCAAAATTCAAAAGTAAGAGAGCTAAGATGTCATCCACATAAGAAAAGGAAGTGAAAGAAATAGATAAAAACTCAGGCTTTCTCAATTGCTTTTCCTTGACTCTCCAGTAACACTGAGCCTCATCCTCTTCACTCCTTACCAGCCCCAGTGTTGGGAAAGGCATTCTGTAGGCAGTGCATCATGGGGATAGAAAGTGCTATTTCCCCAAATCACAGTTGGCATATGCATACGTCTGCAGTTTGTAAAGCTTTCTAGGTAAAGTGTTTCAGGAGCAAATACCAATGTCAGGGTCAGGATATTTCCCATAGTGTGTAATTTAAATCTCCCAGGATGCAATATAGATCCATTTTCTCTTTTCTGCTCTCAATAAAGAAAGATTAACTGATTGCTATCTTATCTGTGTAGTATTTGTTTAAACACTTAACATTTGTTATATCACCTCTCCCCTTTCTTCTCAATTCACAGCCCCTCAATCCTTTAAAACTCTCCTAAGATATGCTATTTTCCAAAATGTTAACCTCTAAAATTTACTCAGAGTCTCCTTTAAGCATGATAGTGTCCAATTGGCCACAATCCTCTAATCTAGCCTCAGGGAAGTGTGAAATGCAGACAGTTCAATTTTTTCTACTCTCTGGTTGTAATATAGTATTCAAATCAATTCATTTAAACATTTTTCCTATGAAACACCACTAAATTAATAGAATATTATGTTTCAATCAATAAGAAAGCTATAAGGACAAGTATCAGGCATTTTGAAAGACTAGACATGATGAGAACTCCAAAGATAGTAAGAGAAATCATATCCAAGGAGAACACATCTAACTAAATTGTCTTTTTAGCTTATGCACTGGTATATTGTAGGCTATGCTGATTGCCTTCCCTATATTATCAAAGAGAATAGCTGGCTATTATATTTTAGTGAAACCCAAACATTTTATACTATTTCATTTATTCAAATTATATAAATTTAAAACCTGGAAAAATTGATCTTTGGTTAGAGGCCAGCACAGTGGTAATCCCTGGGGTAGTAACAACTGGAAGGAAACAGAATCCTGAACTTTTTGAGATACTGGTGATGTTTTGGCTACTGGACACAGTGCCTAGTTAATGTTGTCATCACTAATTACACAGGTGTGTCTATTTTGTGAAAACCTCTTGAGATATGCATTTGTGATTTTTGTATTTTTCTATATGCATATTATACTTTAGTAAAAAGTTTAAAAATAAAAAATAAAAATGGGTTGCTATCTATAAACCTCAATTAATCATGAATCAAATGAATTGTAAATAATATTTATGAGAAAATTATGGAAATTTGAACAATAACTAGACAATAAATGATAGGGAAATTCTTTTAGGAGAAACACCATTCTTGCGATTATGTTAAAAAATATGCTTCATCTTTCTTTCTTTCTTCCTTCCTTTCTTCCTTTCTTTCTTTCTTTCTTTCTTCTTTTGTGGTGAGGAAGATTTGCCCTGAGCTAACATCTGTTGCCAGTCTTTCTCTTTTTGCTTGAGGAAGATTGTTGCTGAGCTAACATCTCTGCCAATCTTCCTCTATTTTGTATGTGGGATGCTGCCACAGTATGGCTAGATAAGTGGTGTATAGGTCTGCACCCAGGATCTGAACCTGCAAACCCCAGGCCATTGAAGCAGAGCACATGAACTTAACCACTACACCACCAGGCAGGCTCCAAAATATACTTACTTTATCGTTAATAAACATATCCTGAAACATTAATGGATTAAACAGTAGGATCTCTGGATTTGCTTTAAAAATCTGAGCAGAGGGCATGTGTTGGCATTTGGATGGAACAAATTTGGCCAAGAATAGGCCAAAGAACACGGAGAGTTCAGTGCACTATTCTTTCTGTTTTTGCATATGCCTGAATTTATCCATCACTTAATAAACGTTTAAAAATATAGTTTAGTAGAACTCTACGGGTTCTACATAATATTGTTCTCTATTTCCACTGTTCTTATCAAAAAAACTAAGTCAGGAATCAAAACATATCTACAAAAACAGATCTGGATTTCATGACCTGCAATGCAATCGTCTGATGAGTAATTCTATGGCATATAAACCTTAAGTCCACAATATTAGTGACTAGCAAGGCGATTAGTTCTGACATCAGGTTTACTAATATGGTGAAAAAAATGGTGCAAGAATTTTATACTAATTTTATGGGTCAGCCTCCAGGTTTTCTAAACATTTGCTAAGAATAAAATGACAGCAACTGCCAAACTATCACATTAACTCTCACATCCAAGGACCTATTTCTACCACCATTTCAATTAAACCTAAATGTGAAATATTCTATCTTGCATACGTCATCAGGTGTACATCATCAAGACAACGTATTATATACACTTGATCTACTGCTGTACTGCTGCCCTTGTTGACTCAGAAGTTTCTACCATGTGTTGCACTTTGACACAAAAGCCAACTAAATGTTTAGTTAGGTATGAGAGAACTTCTCTACCCTGGCTATTTCTTTATCCAGAGAGATTCAGAATTTAACCCAGGAAATATACATTTGATATCAATTTTATTTATGTATTACTTATTACTTTTAGGCTCAGGTCTTTTTTCTCTTTTAATACACTTATTTGAAAATTTTGACAAAAATATTTGCATATATTCTTTATATGGAATAATGCAGTAATTGTCCAATTTTCAGCTGAAATATAGTTATTGGCAGATATATATAAAACTTAGAACACTTGATGACAAACTAAAATCGATTTTATAGAATGCATAATATATACAATTAAATATCCAACACAGGTAATATTGGAATCTAGCGTAGAATTCTGGCTGATGCCAACATTAAAAGAGGAAAAATGTCCTACTGATTACATTTTTATAAGCAGTAAGAACAATGTCTTCCTCATAATAAAGACTTCTATTTCCTCTAGAGTGTCATGGTTAATTTCATTACATTACGCAATGTGAATTGGTCTTCAAAAAGTACAACCGGTACCTTAAAAAATAAAGGAACAGACTAAAATTGATTGTATCACTTATCTTCTTTCTCAAAAAGCACCATGTTGTCCTGTTAACAGCTTCTGAGAATGAAGTAGCCAGTCATTAAATAACTTTACTCTTAAACATAATCACTGTCTCTTCTTTCTCTGGTAGTTGATAAATTTAATTGAAAATTAAATTAAACAAAATATAATACTTTTATATGGGGTGTATATATGCCCAATGTTCCATAAAACGGAATCATAAAGATAAAACACAGAAAATATATTTATACTTACTTGTTGAACTCAATGACTTAAAAGCTATCATTGTTAATTTAAATAACACTCTATTGTACAGATTGTAGAAATTTTATTAAAATAAATTTCATATATGATCTTTCGAATCCTTACAGTTAAAAGAAATGTATCTCTGGGAGAAGAATATGGATATGTGCCTAAGCATAATGTATGAATATAATGTCACATAATGTATCAATTTAGAATCAGAAATAAAACACTGATTTTTACCTGCAAAATTTCTACCTTGAAATTTGTTTTTATCCGTGTCTTCTTATATGTAATTTCTGGGGTTCAATTTTTTCAAATCTTCTACACTCTCCCCATCCAAATGATGTAGGTGATTAGGAACCACTAATGCAATAATTAGGGAGTCTTATTGGACCTCAATATAAAACTTCAAGATTTTTATTGTACTTTGGGAAACAGTAAATTGATTCACATTATGCTGAGTTTAGTCTTGATTCAGTAGTACTATTTAATCTTGAACAATGAACCTCACAGTCCAAAACAGTTTTCAAACTATATTGTCTAAGTGATGCTGTCTAATTCCTATTAAAAAGATTTCAGAGGACGCAGACTCACCAAAAAAAGTCTGGCACATTGAGTATTAAATAATGTTTAATGATATTTATAAGCAATTGAATTTATATATTCCAGACTTATTTACAATACTTTATAACTTAGTGAATGTAAATTTCAACCCATAAATCTTCAGTTTGATGAGGCAAGAAAAAATTCCCAAGTAGATATTTCTTTTCATTGAATAATTCTATTTATATCTTAATTGATAATCTTCCTTCGTTAGGCCCACATGATGGACAAATGCTTATATGGATTTATTTCCAGTGTACAAAATAAGAAAGAGGATGGAAATGATCTGTAATATAAAGCGAGGTATAGAAATAATATTAATATGCTGTTAACTCAATAAAATGCAAAGTATGCACAAAATAAACTACTTTAAATAATAGATGAGGACTCACATACTAAGGAGTGGAAAATGTTGAACAAAGACAAATTACTTCTATCAGGTGTCGTCTCTATATACTCTTAAATATACATTTTATTTAACTATATATCTATGAACTCAAACATGTAATTAATAACATGCAATAAAATGACTCCTAAATGGGAATTAAATAAGAAAAATAACTGACTATACCAAAAGAAAATATATATCTATAGCTTCATAAAAAAAAAAAGAAGATGAGAGCTAAAGTATGAAAGCTGCTAGTAGATAAAATATGTAAAAGAATGATTATCTCGCAGACCAAGTAAGAAAGGGGAGTAATTAAAGTTCTAAAAGAGTTAAGAAATATGAAACAAATTTAACTCCTCCTTAGGATATAAAATAAATTCTTAGAATAAGTCAAGAGAAGTTTAAAATCTCAAAGTATTGAAGAACTCCATCATATTTTACAGAACAACTAGGTTAGAAGCATTTCTATATTTGGAATGAATTCAAAATCTACGTCCTCTCCTAAAAACTTGTAGGTACTAGCTAGAGAGAAATAAAACTAATTTAAAACAATTTATAAATCTTGGAAGAATAGGGCCTGCCTGGTGGCATAGTGGTTAACTGCACATGCTCCACTTCCGTGGTCAGGGGTTCCTGGGTTCGGATCCCAGGTGTGGACCTAGCACCTCTCATCAAGCCATGCTTTGGCGGCATCCCACATGAAATAAAGAAAGATTCGCACAGATCTTAGCTCAGCAACAATCTTCCTCAAGCAAAAAGAGGAAGATTGGCAACAGATGCTGGCTCAGGGCCAATCTTCCTCATCCCGCCCCACAAAATAATTGGAAGAAAAGAAGAAAGTTTGCCTAGAGATATCAAAAACTGTGTGTGCAGAGCTGTGTTTAAATGAAAGTATAGTGATGGCATTAAGAAAAACTTGGGTACTTTAAAAACTCTGATTCATCCATTCATTCATTTTTCATCACATAATTATTTACCACTGATAATATACATTGCTGGGTAATGAGTCTAAATATGCCAAAAGAGTACTGGATATTAACTAGTTCCGATGCAACCAAAGGCACAAATTTTAAATGACGTGATAAGTCAAAGAGAAGCACTAATCTGTGAATAAGTAAAAAATAAATTGCCTACAGAAATTGCCAGATGTATAGATATAAAATGAACTCTTCTGTTTCACATCTCCACCTTAGAAGGATTTTTATAGCTTTCACTTTAAATCATATTAGTTGAAGTCGACCATCACTCAGCAAGTAAAGTAGAAGAAACGAGATGGTAGACTATCTCATTTATCTAGTTATAGGGAAGTTCCAGTCCGCTGCTGCATTGGTTAACTGGAGTACTGACAGGAATTGTGAATAGGTTACCATTTTTCAAAGAAGTAAAATATCATAAAATTCAGTGAACATTAAATTCTATCAGTCAATATAGAGAGAAAATGAAATGGGATTGAGTTTTTTTCTGATTCTGAGTTATCATTTGTTTCCTGTTCACAGAGTTGAGGTGAGTCAACTATTTTGATTATGAGATATCAATTCTTAGTGTTTGGATAAAAGAATTTAATGGAAAAATAGAAAGACTGGTGTGAAAAAATAGAAAGACCAGAGGTTTGTCACAAAGAGATAAACTAAAAAAGTGAGAAATTTAGTTAGGTTCACAAACCTAGATGTATCCTTATAAAGAAGAGTGAGAAAACAAAAATCTCAGAAATAAGATATTATAAAAAAAGGAGCACACTTTGGAGAAAAAGCAAGCAGAAATTAACATATTGACTAGAAAAGAAAAAAATCATGAAAAAGATGTTCATTCATTTAGTGCTCTATGGACCTGAGAGACAGAAATGTTAAAAGGCTATGTATAAAAATACTTACTTGTGGACTTTAGTATTTGATAAAGTGATGCTATGTTTGTGACATTAGAGGAATATACAAATCGCAGAGAATACACTCCGCAGGGATATGTGATATGAGGGTAATGAGTACCATAGCAAAAGTCGTTTTATTTTGAATTCTATATTTGTTCTGGAATTGGAAGAGAAGTGACTAAACCAAACATGCTTTACAATTTCAAGCAACTAAAAACTTGAAGTGCTCCACAGAAGCAAGATAGATGCTCAAACGAATCTTCCCAAAACGAAGTTTACTGAAAAGATGTCCAGGTGAAGTGTCAGCAATATGTTAAATGTAATGTTTCTAAGTTCTGACATCTTTTCTTATGTCATGATATGGGTGAGTTAGGCTGAAATTTCAACAGAACTCAAAAATAGGCAAAAATAAAGTTAGGTCAGAAGACAGCTAGAGTGATTTTTTGGCATATATGGACTAGGCTAACTGTTGTATGATACAAAGGCAGGATGGACCTGTGACACTTTTCAATAGATGGTACCCTACAGTCTTATGATTCTAGAAAATGTCACGGATTTAGGATTTAAAAAGCATTGTCACTGTAGTTTATTTCACTTTATTCAATAGAATTTATTATTGTATGATCTAACATCTGTGCCAATATTCCTCTATTATTTTTGTATGTGGGACGCCTCCACAGTATGGCTGATGAGTGGAGTGGATCTGTGCCTGGGATCCGAAGTCGGGCACCTGGGCCACCAAAGCAAAGCATGCAAAACTTTAACCACTCGGCCATGAGGCGAGCCCCAATTGCAGGACCTTTTAAACAAAGGAAAGAAAGTATATTTTGTGATACAAATGAAAGAAACTATACTTTAGATGAAATTTCATTGATTATTTATCGTATGATTATCTTCAATTCTTAGGGAATGATTACGTTTGTTGACAAGAAATCAATAACTTTTCAAATAACAAATCCTTATACCTTTAGTACCATATTGTTTAGGCTGATTTGAACTAAAAGACATGCTTATTTACTGACAAAAATCTTAAAGGATGATATCCAAAATGTGAAGCCAAAATCATAAGTGACATTACAAAAATAACATTAAAAATATTGTTTTAACTATTGGACTTTCTAAATAATATTAACAACATTGCCTTTATCAATTATACTCTTGAACTTAAATCATTTTTATATTCTTTATTTGCTGAGACTAACCAGACTGTTTTATGTATAACTTATTGTGTCTTTTGAAAGACTAAGTTATTTTAAATAAGATGTCTATAATGCTAAACAAATTCTTGAATTTTTCATGATAAAAATGCACCGTTCTTTTCAAACTCCAGAGAATACTTTTTTGTTTCATTTTAATGTGTTGAAAAAAGTAATGAATTTTTATTAAAAGTTAAAATGATATTTTAGTATTTTTTATTACTTGAAAAAATTAAAGGTAAAACTAAGCTAAAATTCATTAACATTTTAAGATAAACCTGAACACTGTGTTTTGAATATACAATCGCATTCTACATATTTAAATTTATTTCCTCAATCTGTCAGTGCATCCCTTTGGTCTTTATCAGAGAATTAGCAAACTAGAACATTATAACAAAAATAAGAGAAAATATGTTCATGAAGTGCTCATGACTAATGAGGCAAGCCTTAATAGATGTGTTCAAAATTACTTCTGATTAAAAAAATAAGTTCCATTTCATTAAATGCATCATGTAGACTCTTCATGGATCTTTTCTTATATATTAAAAAAAGGAAATATGACTGCATTTAGGCATTTTTTGAAAAACACAAAGTACATTTTTTTAACATGTGCATACAGGTACTTTTGTGTAAGAGTTGGTTTCTTGCAATTTAACTTTAGCAATCAGAGGTATAGAAATGCAAAGTTCTTGGGTCTAGACAACGATCTCATTTGTTTTATTAAGCATATGACCATTTCTCTGTCACTTTATAAATGACAGTGGTAGCCTCATTAAGCTTGTTTAAAGCTTTACAAAAGTAACTAAATATACAGCTACTTTTCTTAACAGCAAATGTACATTATGTTCACTAAAAAACTAAACGCAAGTTTAGCAAAAGAAAAACTGCTACCTCAATAATTATTTAAGCATTCTGATTAAAAGCAAGTAATTAGTGTCAATTTTTATCTTCTTTAATTACATAAGGGACGTGCTTTTCAATTTATAAGATGAGACTATTTCCATTCCTGATAATAAATGATACAAGTATTAACAACTATTACCATGCAAATTTGGGGCAAAATAGTCACGAGCAGATTTGGATCATAGTTTGTACTATTAGATTAACCATACAATTGCCCATGCCTATTAAATCAAAGCCATAATTTTAAAGATAATTGTGTGTCTAAGATGATATTAAACACTAGAAACTTAAAAAATTCACGCATGATTTAAGTTATATGAAGAACTAAGGAGAGTATAAGTAAAAACAAAAAAATAGCTATATTTCTGCTTATTTTTCATGCAAGTCACACTTCATCCCAAACCCTAAATTTTGAGCAGTGTGAACTGGCTAAAACAGAATATTTAAAAACCAATTTATTCTAGTACATATCTGGATAATATGCATACGAATCAATTTTCTTGGTAAAATCATAGATGCATTCTTTGATTTCTAGCAACACACATAACTGCTAACATATTTCATAATCCCTAAAATCAGCTTTTTAAATAAAAACACTTGATTCTTAAGACGTCGAGAAATTTGCATTAAAATATCTGCAGCATTAATATGTTTACTAATAAAAATTGTTACTGTGACTTTAAGATTAAAAATTAGTAAGTGGAGACAAGACATTTGTAGATGTTTAAAATTTCAGTTCTAAATGTAAGTGAAAATTTCATCAAGATTAGTATTCACTAAGAGCAAAAGAGGGAGAATTGATTTTTTCACTATTTTAATGTAGCCTTACTAGTTAATATATTCTAATAGAAGATATTTATATTTATTTTGAAATACATATTTGAATTACTCTGAGTAATATGCTTTTTGAATTTTTGCCTTGAAATTATTGATAATGTATCTCTACAAAGTATATTTTTACTTAAGGGAAACAATAGTGAGAACATACTGGTTAAAATTTGAAAAAGGTTGGTTTTTGATGACAAATAAGACTAAAAATCCAGAATTCAGTTTGAAGGACAAGGACTGCATCATAGTCCTCATTTATTAAAATTTGATTTTAGGCTACTTTAAATCACTAGTGTGTGTAGAGGTGTAAGTTAACCTTTAGGATTTAGCATCCAAATTACATCTTAGTTATTATGTTAGACATTTCAATACTTTCCTTTCCTTAAGCATGTGTACTCTTCTTGTATGTTATAAAACTTTAAAAAATAAAGCAAAACAAATATCAATAATTTATAGAGAAGCACAATTATTTGGTTCTGAAATGCTAAAATACTATATCATGCTGGGGTAATGGTATTTCTAAATAATTTGAAAAGCTGAACACAATCCTTTATAAAACATTATGATCATTGTTGCCATCACAATGTATGTAAGCAACGGTACATCCACTCCTTTAATCTTATGACACTTGTCTACTCTTATTATCAATGCCTAGAGTAGAAGTTATGGCCTCAATGCATTCAACCCATGCCTTCACATTCACATTCAAAAGGACTAAAATATATGTTCTTCTAGTTTTTTCCTCTCTTTATTTTTCTCTTTTGTTCCCATTTCATAAATCACAAAAGAAATGATACATTTGCAATCTGTCTCATTTTTGTTTCTATCTTATGGTTCCACAATTTTTTTTGCACTAGAAGATGAAAGTAAGAAAACATCATGTACACTGGATTTGCTATATAAGATAAAAGTCATCTTTTGATTGAGTTGTTATAATTTTTATCCTTATTAAATATTAGTTTATGTGGTTTGACTAAGATATTGAATTGTCAGTGGTATTTATCCATTAACTAAAAGGAAAAGGTTCCTATGTAGCAGATAATAAATGGGATAATTTCATTACCAAGATCCTCAAAGGAAGTATTCTGCAGGATCTCAAAGCATTTTTATTTTTCACAGTGGTTGTATAAAATAATCCATTTAGAGAATATGGTCCTAATATTGCAAGAGCTGAGTGTAATGATCAATGTCTCAATATTAGAAGAACTATCATTTTAAGTAAATGAAGGATATTGCTGTATTGATACGTTTCCATCAGGTAGTTCCTCCAATTCTGATCAAAGACTTGACTCCATACCAACATATCACTAAATCATGCTGAATGGCCAAAGTGATGGCTGCATTGATTTCTAAATTTAGCCTAATGTGTTTAATGTCACTGTGGTAAAAGGATGATTAGGTGACAATGTTGGTATTGATAAGAAAATGAGATCTCTCAGTGACTCAAGTGTGTAAAGATGTTTTCCCACCTTATTAAGCCCTTCAAAACACATGGAAATCAAATAAGCCAGAAAGCAATAATCAAAGGAAATACGAAGAGCATTTGAAAAATGTTTTCAACAACATCAAAAGTTATGTTTGATTGTTGTCAACAACCACATCCTAACAACCCGTCCTCCTGTTAAGCATATTTATTTTTCCATAGTAAAGTGCTGTCTGTACCCAAGAGTCACTTTTACCCTTGTTTTTGAAAACAATCTGAACTCTGTTTTCACTAAGAAGAATGGCGTGTTGAACTTTATTCCCTCAAAGATAACACTTTGATACAGGCTTTTATGTAATACTTACTCAAATATGGTGGTTTGTAAGGCGCTCGTGTATTAGACAGCAGTCCATCCAGCTCCTTCCTCTCCAGGGTGCTGTGAAGGGCCTTCTCTTTGCCGAAAGTGGAGAAGGACCGCTCTGCCCCAGGCTGGGCTTCTGGAGTTTCAAACACCTCAGTGTCTGGAACCGAGTCCATGCCAGGAACATGCAGATTGCTGCGATAATCGGCAGCCTGGCGTCCATCAGAAGGGACAAAAGAAGGCATCCAGCACCGATCTGAGTGGCCCAGTGCTTTACATTCCTCGGTGCAGTTGGAGAAGAGATCCATACCTGTAAGCAGAAAAAAGAGAAACTACCAACATCACCAACTGCTTAGAAGTGAAGGATTACAGGCAGTATAAAGAATAACGGGTGAAGATATCATATCTTTCTTGTCTTAACCTGACAGGAACCAAAAATCTGTCTGTATTCTTTTGTAAAGGGTAAGACTTTCGGCAGAGGCCTCTGAGATAGATGTTTCTTAACTACTCAAAGTATTGGGAAAAAAATGTTGGCTCTAAATTATTTAAATAACTAGGAAATGGTGAGTAGAAAAAGAATGAATATTTTAAAAAATCTCTAGTGAAGTTCTTAACAGAGAAAAAACCCAAGTAGAAAGCCTTCATAATCCATAATCTCTAAAGATGATGTCACCTGACAATTTTTTCTTAGGGACAAAATTGGAAGAAATATGTGACACACTAATGATGATATTTAGATTATGAAATCTGGACATGAAACAGAAAGTTAAATTCAACAGAAATATGGCATACATATTGATAAGCCAATGTATAATAAGAATGAAACAAGATTTCATGAGCGGCCAAGAGTATACTTTCTTAGGTTCCTAAAAATGGCTTTCTAAAAGGTATTTCTCAATGACACTCTGGTAGCCCATTTTACTATAAATCACTTATCATTTACCACCTTAGACAAATCAAGAGCAAATGATTGTAATTAGTGAAACCAAGGTAACCAAGTACATGTGAATCAGCTGTAGATACAATTGACAAATACCTTATTACTTGTTCTACATCAGAAAACACTTGTCCTAATCAACAGAGAAGTGTTGCTTCCTAATCCTAGAATGCCAAAATTTCAAATGACATCTTCAAGTTTCATTGTTTCCTATAGTTTGACAAGACTATTAAATATTATCTATTTATTACTCCAGAAAGCTTATTCAGTTTCTTAGGGAAAGCATAACAATTTTTGAGCACTATAGAATACTATCTGATATTCATTTTGATAAATAGCACTATGCAGAAAAACAAGTACATAAACAAAAATCGCATTTAATGTTTTTCTAAACATAGTAACATATTTATTGAATATGTTTTAAAATAGGATCAATTTGAAATAACCAAAGTACAATTAATCTGTACACAAACTGCAATGCTTGCCTCGTCTGGAAAGCCTAGGGATTTTTTTTAACTAACAGAGTAATATGTATTTAATGAACACAATTGTTTCTTCATAAATATCGTGAGTGATTGGAGCTCTTGAACAAGTTTTAGTTTTTAAATTGCTGACGGTATTCTGTCACATCCTAATTTACTTGTTGTGTGTAAATCTTAACATCTGTTTATATAAAATAAAGAAAATAATTTTTCAAAATTATTAACTCTCTAGATTATCCACATGTATTTTAGAATTAAGTGTCAGTTCTGTAAATTGTGTTTAAAGACATAACACCAAGCTTTTTATCATATCTTAATCTCACTTTATAATAACTTTTTTATTTTAAATTAAACTACGTATAATGCCAAGTCTGACTTCGATTATAACATTCCATTGATAATTGTCATGCATAAGCCTGGAAATAAATTACTGATCAGTGAACTGTTGAGGAACGTAAACGTGAGCTGAAGCTCGGATAAGGAACCAGAATAAGAACGGCGTGTGAAACATGTCAGTGTTTCTCTAGACACCAGAGAAGCTCCATTCTTTATTTTATTTCTGCAAGGAGATATGTAGAAAGGAGAAGAGGAAGGAAAGGAGAATGCCCCTGATACCGTGCTGTACCAGGTAGGTAGAAGCCATAGAACCAGAGAGATTTGTATTTTGACACACTGTACTATAAATGCTCCCTGTTTATAGTGTGGTGGAGATAAAGAGGCTTTTTTGATAAACGAAACTACTGTTCAGAGCAAAATTATTATAAGCAATTATTTAGTTTAAAAACAAATTCAAGTTATATTAAATGTGAAGTTGATGGAATTATTTAAATATTAAGAGAGAATTGTATTATTGGATCCTGAGAACGATGGGTACAAATGCAAAAATTGGAATTAATACAATTTTTCTTCACATGACTGATAAATATCATTTTAAGTATACCACATGAGACCATTAACAATCTTTCGCATTTTTGAGCACCTGTACCAAGTGCTCTTATAATTTTGAATATGGTAATTTCACACAGAAAAATGTTATTAAACTAGTCTCTCAACATTATTATTGAGATGTTGTTTGATTATGTTAGAAGGTATTATTAGTAGAACTTGTTTTTATGGGTAACTTATACACAATTGTGCACATTCTCTTCTTTCAACGTGTATGGTTTTCTGCTTCTTTTAACCATTAGAAGCTAGTTAAAATTCATTTAGATAGTGTAATAAAGTTCTCATGAGTTGAGAACCTGTACAAGAAATATATCATGGGCCTAACAAGAAAAATGAGGAATAAGGTAAAATTTTTTGTTGGAAGAACAATGTTACTTGCCTAATGGGAAAAAAGTTGTAAATAATGTTCCTAATAAATTTATTAACTAATTCTTTTAAAATGGAATTCCCACAGTAATAATACATGGTTTTATATAACCAGAATGACAGGCAAGGTGGGACAAATTGCATGTGAATGTTTCACCAGTTTTACTGATAAAACAAGTGTATCTATTTCTCATCAGGAAAATATCAGATATTGAAACAAAATTTTTTAAAAATAACATAAATAGTACTTCAATAAATTTCAAATAAGTAACAGAAACATTTGTTGAAAATGGAACTTTTAATTTGTGTTTTAGATATATAGTTTGAGAACCAAATAAATTTTTCCCATTATCGGTTCTCACCCTAGGAAGCCATTGAAAGACTAACATTATCTTATCATTTTCTCTTATCACAAGTCCCATAAAATATATTATTTTAATGAGCAAATAAGCAGAGGTGTATTTAGGTTTTATTGTGATAAATGACTACATGGTGCATAAGAATGCCAGGTATTATAGGACATGTGGCATATTAAAATGCATACCTTTACATCACTCTTAGAATTTTTTAATGGCTCAAATTGAAGCCCCAAGAGAAAATAAGTTTAACCTGACTTTTTTTTTCTAATTCAAATGCCCTTACTTCAGAACCTGCGAAATTTGTATAGCAGGAAAATACAGACCAAACTTCAGTCTTGAAGTTTTGGTAAAATTTCTAAGAAACATTTCAACATATATATTTTACTTGCAATTTCTTCTCCTAGTTATTTATTTTTTTTCAGTTCTTAGAAATAATCTGTTCCACAAGGCATGACAGCTGACGTGATAGACTGGCTGTTATGCAAAGATATATTTACACAAATTTTAAAATACATCTTCTTTAACTGGCAAGTAACTTGTCCCTTATAGTCAGAGGCAGTGATATTACCACTGAGAACAAATTGTGATTTCAAAAATATAATTGTATTCAATTTGTGCTCTTTTCTGACTAATGTAATAATATAAAATTACATGTACATTTATTTCTCATGCATCAAGCCTTCACAAAAAATGTTTATTTTATTCAAAATATAATAAATTACTTTTAAAGAAAATCAGCACTCAGTTTTTTGAGGAAATTTTCAGTCTTCCTTTAACCATTTAGCACTGGAAAACTAAGAGATAGTAACTCTAACCACAAAAATTGCTATAACTTTTAGAAAAATATGTTTTGCAGGAAGATTTTTAGAAAAATCAAACATGCACATCAAAATTTTCTCCCTATCTATCATTTTTCAAAATGTATACATTTTTCTCCAATATTTTCATACACATTTTTCCAATTATAAATCTCTTTGCATTATCAAATTGTAGCTCAGATTTTCACCAGAAACCTGAATAACCTTTGCAAACAATGGTGTAAATTCACTTTATTCATAAAGCCAGAGCTAATTGCCAGTATCTAAATTCTTGCTGGACTTGGGAAAGGGAAATCTGTATTTTATGATAAAACAAGAATTCTCTTGTTGATATTGCAGTAGTAGTGTAATGGTTTAATACATTTCGTGACATACCTTATCTACTTGTTTGAAAATACTGATAATGCAAATCACTTTATTTTTTAATTTATAGCCAATCTTTGACCATGCATCATGTATAAACCTCATAATAATTAATTAAGAAATAAACACATTTAGAGAAGCTAAGTTCCTTTATAACTGAAAGAAAAATTTACAAGAAGAGAAATTTGACAATTTTGAGGTAAACTATAACAAGTAACATTAACTGAATCATGGCTTATTAGGGTGCTCTTCAATATATATTTTAAGAAGCTACAATTATTAAAAATAGATTCATAATTAATGCTAGTATGTACATTGTATGTCTTTAATAAATGGAAAAAAAACTTCTTACTAATAAACAGATCCCCTTAGATCTACCTCTAATAATATTAAAATGTTTAAGAATATACAAGGAAAAATGTTGTATCCAGTATTCTAAATTAGAACAAAAGTTTATCTTTTAGTCAAAGGGTATAATAAACAAAATTGAAAATATATTTCCTTTAAGTCCACTTTGACTTTATTTTGGCTATTTAAGCTGTGATTAATCAGTTTTTCCTCTTGTGATGGCTTTTGCAGGCCTTTACCACATCTCCTTGGACTTCTGCCATATCTAAGCAATACATCAATAGTGCACTGAAAAAAACGGAAAGCACCTTGACAAGGCTATAGAAAGAAAGTGCCCGGGAGCAGTGGTCAAGCCGAAGAATTTCACACATGGAGCCAGGTGCAGTGGAAAACTGAACAAGCTTATGTGATGCTCTGTGCAGCTGCCTCTGTTTAAAGCCCTTCTATGAACAAGATTGGTGACTGCAAATGGCTTAGAAAGGAGAAAAACAAGTGGGGGGGTGTGTTGGGGGGAGAACAAAAAAGAAAACTATTCATAGAAGAATAAATAGAAGGCATATCTAAATAAATACATACAAAGTAATGCTAACATAGAAGAAGAAAGTGGGAATACAGAAAAAGTTAGGAGGTTTAAACAGGTGAGGCACTAAAGGAAACAGTGTATATCATGTAAGAGGGAATGAGGTTCAAACTAAAGAAGAGAACTCAGAACCTGTATCTTTCCAGGGCTATTTTTCCTTCATAATCTAATTTTCCCCCTAAAATTGAGCTGAGCAAGATTTGCTTATTAGTGTGAAATTTTTTTCATATCCTAAACTTGGAAATAGATGTGCTATGAATAATAGTTCCTAAATATTGCAAAATTGGAAGATCATTAAGATCCGGCTATACACGGAAATAAAACAGATGTACTCATTTACCTGGAATGGACTTAACTTTGGGGAAATATTCTAGCTACTTGGGGTGAGGTTTACCGTACACAACATCAGTATGGACCGGAAAAGTGATTAAGTAAATGCATTTTAATTCTCTTCATTTAAGGTTTTATACTTAAAAAGGAAACACTTCAAAATAATTCTTGCAATAAAATTAGACACATTAAATCTGATCGCAACTCAGCACACAAAGGTGCTATCACTTCTTAATATGAGTGTGTTACTGCAATTCTAAAACAGCTATTATTGTGCCCAGTAGTTGTGGCTGCCCCATAACTGCTAATGAACTACACAAATAGATTGTTAACTCTGTAATCCTTTTACATGTTTAAGAACTTAGAGGGAAAAAAAAGTTGCCATTTTGATAAAGAAAAGTATAAATTGCCTTGCTTTTTAAAAGTATTTTCCAAAACACAATTTAGCATTTTAAATTTCCTTTTAATGCATTGGCATCTCAAATAATTTGGAAGAAACATTACCAAAATGGCAACACTGAGTGCCTGTGAAATAAAATAGCTACTGGGAAGGGGCATGGATAAGAATATATTCCCATCCATCTTCCAAATTTAGCACTTTTTGTAGATGTTTATTCGCTTCTCTTTCTTCTGTTAGGTTATTATGGCTCATTATGTCTGAGGGACTAAACTAATTGAAATGTTCATTGAGATTGGAGTGCTACAGAAGAAAACGAAGTGGGAGAGTGGGAAAGGGATAAAACGCATTCAAGGAAACACGCAGTGGATACTCCTTTTTAAATATTAAACATTTTGTTTTAAAAGTTTTAAAAGGCTGACTGTTACATTAGAAACTCTGAGAAAAGAATAGGAATGAGCAATTCTAAAGGTACAGCTTTCTAAAGATAACAATAAATCATATGCCATATATAGGCCAAAAATGAAAGGGACTTTGTACTCAAATATAAACTTCTGGCAAGATCTGGTTTGTTGTCAGGTTCCCAGACACTAAATAGATGCTCTGTTCACTTAGCGTGAAGGCCCGCAAGGGGCAGGGACCTCCGGGGATTCTTGGCAGTTCTCAAGTCTCATTAGGTCTGCATATTAATGACTTGCAGCAGTATAAAGAGACCCTTGAGCAGCCTTTTTTCCCCTCCTCCTGCCTGCGTTTCCCAAGGCTAAGGCAGCCTCAGACACAGCACACATTAGCCAAGGGAGTGGCTTGCAGCAGCCACTGCTGCCAGGCGACCGTGGGGCGTGTCCTGCCCTTTGACACACTGCCGCAGCACTGTCCAAGGTCCACTGAGTGACTTCAGGATTGGGTGCTCTCCAGGACCAAGATAACTTTGGAAATGAGGACCCTATCATTCAATGGTTATCTCATTAACCAAAATAAAGCTCAAATCTCAAGCGAACAGAGTTGAACCCAGAGACAGTCCAGTGATGGACATTTTTAGTAGTCACAAAAGTGGACTTGCCTTTCCATTTCCTTATGTATCAGATAAACACAAAACTGAATGGAAAAAGAAAAAGTAAAAAAAAAAAAAATTCAACAGGCATCCTTCATAGTTAAAGTGCAAATGAAGTGGAAAGAAATCCAAACTTTATGAAATTATTTTCATTATTTTAAGGAACACATATTTCTTTTAAGTGTTTTCCTTGAGTATTAGTAATTAGAGTTACCAAGATCCGATAAAATGTAGTTTAAATTTATGTAGAAACAAGTAAAGTAAAATAAAGTAAAAAATATGTATCACATTGCAACTCCATCACTGATTACCATTAAGCCCACATACAAATATACACAGAGTTCAACTTCTGACAGGTCATGGACTTTGTTGAAAATATGAGAAAACCTACTACACTTCAGAAAATATACATTATCAAATGTTTATCAATGTCCTGAAGCCTAAGAACCTAGTGTTGGAAATCCTGCTTTCAACCTATTCATGACTTTTCATCACTATTCCTTCTCTCATTCAATATTCAGTGGTGTGCAAAATGCATTGCTCTGGAAAGCAAGCAATTTGGATTCTAGTACCCAATCCTCCACTTAACCTCTTGTGACCTTGTGCAGGTCAATCAATTTCATTCATCTTCAGTTACCTCATCCACAAACAAGTCTAATAATACATTAATTGACTGAAGATTGCAGACTAGACCAGGTGAGAGATCTACGGCTTTTTGTATGCAATATAATCCCATTAAAGAACATTACATGAGGAAGAAATATTTCACATTCTAACACATTCAACAATGAATTTCTAACTCTAACTCTCCAAAGGAACATTACTTTTTACAATCCTCTTTGAGTATACAATTGTTCAGCATAGGACAACTCCATCTTTCTGTAGAGTTACGAACATTAAACTTACAAATCATCCTTTCTAGATTTATTTTTAAAAAAAGAAAACACTATAAAAGCTAGCACTTAGATTGTCCTTTGATCATACTTACCAGCTGACTGGCCGCGGTTGGTGGCATCATGATCACTATCACCCTGTTCACTGTCCCCGTGACCACTGTCCTTAGAGCTTACTATGTCGGCTTCCTGGAATGCAGAACTAGAAGTACAAAAATGTGAATATTAGAATAAAAAAGGCAAGGAAACACAGAAAACATTCTTCTGCCACCACATGGTCACCGATGGTGCTGCAGATTCATAGACGTCTCCGTTGGCTTTATCTCTGCATACAGCTAGCTCTCACAAACTTAAGCCTAACTCTTTAAAATTGAACATTAGCAGTCAGTTTGAGCCCTTAAGGCACGTAAAGTTTAGGCATTATTCTATTATTGGACCTAAGTAAATGTTTATATCATTTTCCTAAAACAGGTGTATACATACACCTGGAATAGTTAGAAAGGCTATGAGAAGCAGTGTAGGAGTGTACACTGATAAAATATTCAAATACATTTAGTAAGCTGTATATAAATGAAATATACTCATATTTTTTAATGTGTTGTCTAGGAAACCCAACATAATCAGTTTTTATGTCCTGCCCTAATTGGAAATACTTGATACATTTTATATTTTAATAGTGAATAATATACCTAATTCCTACTTTTACTAGGTAGTACATTGTTCATACACCAAGCTAGGGGGAAAAAAAAACAGTCCATACCTGTTAACACGGCGAGGTCTGTCAACTAGATAGCTGAGCTCTGCTCGTTGGTGTTTAGTCTAGAAAAAAAATAAATAAATCAAGAGCATTTGAACACTAAGGGTTTAACTAACACTCTGCTTTTGAGGTTAGGAGCTAATTCTATCGTAAGTAATTGTGTACATTTTTATGAATTTCGAAGCTGTCCTAAGACCTCTACCTAGTGATTGCTGGCCAAGGGCAGGGAGATATGCAGAGACATTTCCATCTAGACTTCCAGTAAAGGTAAAAAAAAAAAAAAGAAGAAGAAGAAGAAGCAGAAATAAAAGGCCAATTTTAAATGTGTGGGGTTTTTTTAAAGGAGAGAATGCAAATGACCTCATAGCTAGGGCTCATAAACTATTGTCTCGAATAGAGTCAACCTGGTTATCCTCTGCAGGCTTTTGTTCAGTGGCCTAAAAAAGTGTTTAGGTGCATACTGGTTGACACAAGAAAAAGAGCACGCTCAATAAGCAAAAAGTTTGGATATTTTACGGAATTATTTTGTTGTTTATTTTCAAAATGTGCTTAAGATACAAATGAGCTGTACAAATATTCATGAAAGTCAATTAATAATATCTAAGTCTCAAATAAATAAAATAACCTGCCAAGAAAGGAGTTCATAGTCCTCCCTCCCTCCCCAGTTCTTTTCCCCTTCCAAAAGCCCTCTGCATTCTCCTCCCAGCCTCCGCCATCCACACACCTTTTCTGGTCCAAACTTTCTTTTACATCAATCCACTCCGTTCTCCCCCTCCCTCCCTTCTTTCAACTTTGCCACTTCTCCATCTTTTAAAAAGAAATCGGAATTGACAAGCCAAATTCTTTGAAGAAAGGCAACAGCAGTGATTTATCAAGAACAGTGGCAAGAAGGTGAGTATAGCTAAGAGATATATTTAAGACAACAATTGTTTAAGCCTTTCGTTAGTTTACTCTTACAGGGGTTTGTGCCAAAGCAACTTCATTCAAATTCACACTGTGTGGGCGTTCGGCTTCAAGAGCGTCTTTAAATGCTGTCCAGAGCAGAACTGAAGGCTTTTCTCAACCCGAGTTCAGAGGACAAGGATCTGATAACTCATTCACTAAAACATGCATTCGAGTTTAGACAACTGTGCAAAGTTAAACACTCTATTAGCTTACTTTTACACACGACTGAAAGCATCGATAAACAAAGCCAAACAGAATTAACTTTATTAACGCCTGGGACAAACGCAAAGAGAAAAAGACCTTTGCCAGTGCCAGAAAGTCCCTCCACCGCGTTTCCCTCTCCCCCCACCCCCGCCCGCGCACATTCCCCTTTGCCCCGAGATTTCTGAGAAGGGAAAGGACTGAGAGGGGATTAGAATTTTCAAGGAAAGATGCTAGAGGGAAGAAGGAAGGTCTAAGGTGGTAAAGCACCAAGAGGAGGGAATGAAAATAGACGTGGAGGGGTGGAGCTCGGAAAATCAGGGACAACACGAAGTTTAGGTTACACACGAAGGGGTGGGATAGGGTGACCGCCCGTTCCTGACCCCACAAAGATACAAATAAGCTAATATCCTAAAAATAAATACACAGTGCACCAGAGATACAAGGGCTGGGCTAGAGGAGGCTTTCGGATGGAGGAGATGAGAGATGGTGGTCCTTTCGCTTCAGCCTTACCTCGTTGGACAAAATGCTTCCGTTGGAGATGATGTCGGGCTGCTGGTCTGTGTAGCCGGTGACGATGGCCCCGCAGGGGTTGTGCTCAGTGTCCGTACTCCGCGAAGGGCTGCAGGGCTTAAGGAACATCAGGTCGGTCTTGGCGGACTCAGGGGTCAGGCAGACCTGGTAGCAGTAATTCTGGTTGTGGTGGTGGGAGCCAAAGCCCCCAGACTCCTCCACGGGCACTTGGGCCGGGTTACTGGGTACGTTGGAGCTTTGCACCAGCATGATGTCCGATTTGCTGAGTTTCTTCTTGCGTGCCCGGGCTTGGCGGCCGCAGCAGGTCGAGCCTCCACCGCCACAGCAGCAGCAGCAGAGGCAGCAATCACTGGCCAGACACGTGTAGATGTTGAGCTTCTTCTCTTTTTGGCAACGCACGGCAAGCACGATCATAGCCAGCAGGAAGATGAAGGACACGGAGCCCAGCGCGATGATGAGGATGAGGGTGAGGTCCAGCGAAGTCTCCCCGCCGCCGGAGCGGCTGGGGCGTTGGTGCTCCCCTGACCCCCCACCCCCGCCCCCGCCCCCGCCCTGGGGTTCGACAGCGCCATCCACCAGCTGCACCACCAGGGTGGCGGTGGAGGACAGGGGCGGCTGCCCATGGTCGCGCACCTCGATCACCAGCTCGTAAGGCCGCTGGGGGTCGCGCTTGGCTGGCACCCGGCGCGCTGTGCGGAGCTCCCCGGTGCGCCAGTCCATGCGGAAAAGGTTCATTTCGTTGCCCCGTACAATGCTGTAGGTGAGCCGGGCGTTCTCGCCGTCGTCCGCGTCCACTGCGGCCACGCGGGTCAGCAGGTAACCCGGCTCCGCCGAGCGGGGCAGCACCTCTCGAGCCGGAGTCCCGTTGCGCCCCGGGAGGGGCGCCACGATGGCAGGGGCGTTGTCGTTCTGATCCACGATGAGGATGTTGACAGTGGCGTTGCCAGCCAGCGCCTGGGGGCTGCCGGCGTCCCGGGCTTCCACCTGAAAGCTGAAGTCCTTGAGCTGCTCGTAGTCGAAGGAGCGCAGGGCGTACAAGTAGCCGTTTTCGGAGTTGATGGAGACGTAAGTGAAGACGCTCATGCCCTGGATCTGGCACTCGAGGATCGAGTAGGCTAGCTGGGCGTTGGCGCCCTCATCGCGGTCCGTGGCGCTCACCGCGTAGATGTAGGCGCCGGGCACGTTGTTCTCGGTCACATACACGTCGTAGACCGGCTGGCTGAACCGCGGTGCGTTGTCGTTCACATCTGACACTTGCACCTGGATCGACTTACTGGTGGAGAGCGCCGGCTCGCCCCGGTCCCGAGCCACCACGGTCAAGGTGTAGGAGTCCCCCGCCTCTCGGTCCAGGGGGGCCTCGGTCACGATGGTATAGTAGTTCTTGAAGGAAGACTTGAGGCGGAATGGCACATCCCCCAGCAGCTCACACTGCACCTGCCCATTCTCCTCTGAGTCTCGGTCGGTCACGCTGAACAGGGCTACCACTGTGCCGGGCGCCGCGCCCTCGCTCACCGCCTCCTTCACGGTGCTGAAGCTGATCTCCGGCGCGTTGTCGTTAGCATCCAGCACTCGCACTAGCACCTTGCAGTGAGCGGGCACGGCATTGGGGCCCAGGTCCTTGGCTTGTACGTACACTTGGTACACCGGGCTCTCTTCATAGTCCAGCTCGCCGCTCACCTCCAGCCGGCCGGTGCGCGGGGAGAGTCCGAAGAGCTCCCGCGCTCGGGGCGAAATGTGGCTGCTGAAGGAGTACACTACCTCGCCATTCTGGCCTTCATCTGGGTCTGTGGCGTTGAGCTGGATCACGAGCGTGCCCGGCGGTGAGTTCTCTGGAAGGGACACAGTGTAGACGGGTTGGTCGAAGGCGGGCACATTGTCGTTAGAGTCCAGCACTCGGATGGTGAGTAGGGCCGTGCCGGTGCGCTGCTGCTGGGGGGGCAGGCCCCCTCCCGCGCCGTCTCCCCCTCCTTCTCCTCCTCCTCCCCCTCCTCCCCCGTCCACCGCGGTCAGCACGTAGCGGTGCACCGCTTGCTGCTCTCGGTCCAGCGGTTTCTCCAGCACCAGCTCGGCGAATCGGTTGCCATCCCCTTGGGTCTGCACGTCCAGGGAGAAGTAGCTGTTGGGGGTGATCTCGTAGTCGCGCAAGGAGTTGGTGCCCACGTCTGGGTCGAATGCGCTCTCCAAGGGGAAGCGGGTGCCTGGCGTGGCGCTCTCAGAGATCTCCACCGTCAGGTCCGGCTCCGGAAAGGAGGGGGGGTTGTCATTGATGTCCAACACCTCGATCTCCACCCGGAACAGCTCCAGGGGGTTCTCCAGGAAGACCTCCAGGTGCAGGACGCAGGAGGGGCTCTGCTTGCAGATTTGCTCGCGGTCGATCTTCTCGTTCACGTACAGCACCCCGGTTTCCAGGTTGAGGTCCAAGTAAGGGGTCCGCGAGTTGGGCACCGTTTGAAACCTGCGAGCTGAAAGTTTTGTAATGTCCAAGCCCAGATCTTCAGCGATATTCCCCACGAAAGTGCCATGTTCCTGCTCCTCCTGCACCGTGTAGTGAAGCTGGGAAAAGACTCCTTCCACCATCCAGAGCAAGGCAAAGAATAATAGCACAATCATCTCCAAAGGGAAAGGAAGCAGCTTCCCGCAGCCAGTCAGCCACCCAATCACCTCCCCCACCACCACGAAAAAAAAAATCTCAAAAAAAAATACAAATAAAAGTGCGCTGTGTGGGGGGCTCCTGTGGCTTTCTGTCCTTAAAAATCTTATTCCTTTTGCTTCATTTTAGGGCTTCCCCCAATTCAGCCTCATTTTTCAATCTTAGCACAGGAAGGGTGACAGGCGTCCCCTTTCCTCATCTGTAATCTTCCCACTGACCAATTAATAAAATAATAATACAATAGTCAGCGTCCTTTATTCCGACAATCTTGGCGCAACGCGGCGCTGGCAAATCCCAAGGAGGAAATTTCGATATTTCAAGACTGTCCTCGGTTTGTCTTCTTGCTGATGGGAGGAGAAGGAGGAGGAGGAAAAGAAGAAGGAGGAGGAGGAGGAAGATGAGGAGGAAGAGGAGAAGGAAGAGGAGATGCTGCTGGCACCGCTGAACATGCCTCTTAATGTCAACGGCTGGCAAATGCAAAAGGGCTTAAAAACAGCGAGAAAATTTTGTGCCGGAAAAGCATAGAACGGCTCTGCAGCATAAAACTTTCATTCTCTTCATTTCTCTGGATGGATGTTCTTCTTGGCATTTTTTCCTCTTTCGCTCTATTTGTATTTTTTGCCTTTCATAGTCTTGTCTCTCTCTGTCCTCATCCCCGCGGTCATTTGCCTCTCTGTAAGTGTGATGAGCAGTTTCTTTGCTGCTGTTTTCTTCCCAAGCCTCTTTCCCTCTAAGCTCTCTTCCTTCCAGTCCTTCCCTCCTCCTGCCTCAGCCTTAAAGCCCGTGATCTCGGCTGGCAGTTTCTGAGCTCCGAGCGCTTCTCTTCTCTGTTTTTGCGCAGCGCCCTCATTCTGCCAACCAATCGCTGAAGAGCACCACCCACCGAGCCACCGCTAATTGGCCAAACTGGCCGTCAAATAGGCGCGTCATCCGGCTGCCGGGCGGGGCTGGATGGAACCCGCGCCCGGGCGGCAGAGGTAAGCGTGAGTGTGAGAGAGAGAACAGCCCGGCAGGTCCCGAGGCGCTAGCTGGGGACGCTGCCTCGGAAAGTTCCCAGTCCCCAGCCGCAGGTAACGGAGAGGGAATAGAGAGGTTCCCCTGTTTGCATCAGCAAATGCGAAAACAATAGCAACAGCGGCGGTATCCTCTCCCAGGAGCGGGGGTTTCCAATGACGCTAACATTCTTTTTCCTTTAAGGTATTTTCCTTGCTATTGATTGTGGAAATAAATCACAGAGAACGGGAAAAAGTTTCAGAGGGGTCACTAATTGTCAGGGGTTACCCAATTAACGGACTCTGGAAGAGATTGGCAGGACTTTAAAAAAAACGGATGTAATGTGGTCTGTGTCAAACTAAGCGTGAGGGTCTGCAGGGGCCGAGTGGAAGGGAGTGAAGCAGTGGGAGTGTGGGGCGAGGTGGGTCTTGAAAAGCCGAGGATTCACGCCAAGGGATGAGGGCTGGTGGCTCTTATAGACGTGCAGACGCGATAGACTTGCCTCTTCCCTTCCTAAATGTATATCCGTAGTATTCTTAGCAAATAGATTAATTCGCTTGGGGACCTAGTTAGAGCTGCGAGCGCTTTGATCAATGACTGAGGACTTTGATTTGAGCTCTGCCTTCGAGCCCGCCAGCCTAACGCCCGACTCTTTGGCATTGGGCATCGAACACCGCCGGGCGCTGCAAGAAGCCCCGGATATCCCTGCGCCTTACCCCGCCAAGGGCTACTCAGCGGCCCCGCGCACAGGCTATTTTCTGCTTTTTCTGACAATTGGAGATCCCCCCCGCCTTCTCCTATGCTAGACCGGAACACGATTCTTGCCCAGCTTGGGGCAAGCCGGCTGGATGAGGACGGCTGGGCGGCGGCGAACGCAGGCGGGTCGGGTGGGGATGGGGTGGGGTAGGGGCGTGAGCAGGAGGGTGCACGCTCGGGGTCTGAGTGTGTGCCGTTGCTGGTGTCCGCGAACGCACTTGCATTCACAGTGCTCGCATCGATCCTCCCTGGCCCGGCGCTCAGCTCTGTGTAAGCACCAGTGGAGCCCCCCTCCCGGGTCTCGAAGGATGCGCTTGACCAGCTCTGAGTGCCCGCTCCCGAAGAGCAGGGACAAAGCGGTGCATCTAGGCACCCAGTGCTTGTGAAGTTAAAATATAGCGCGAACTCTTCACTGCCAGAGAGTGGACTGAATGTCAATTCTCCAAGAAAAGATTTAAAAAGCATAATTTTTTATTAATTAATGGTCTGTAGGTGGTTGTTTATACATTAAAGCAGTTCCTGTGCAGTCTCCTTACGACACAAGATAAGAAGGTCCCTTGCAGCTTCCTGGTAATGAATGACCCGAGAATAACACCGCTACAACCTGCGGGAAAAGGAGAGTCGTTTGCCCGACCCAAGGTACGTTGCCATTCCCTCCTGGCAGTGAACTACGGAGGGCGAGTGTCCAGAGGCGTGATTGTAGATAGAGGCATGCCCCTGTGAGTCCCGCGAGTGCGTGTCTACTGCCCTACCCGCCCCCCACCCACCCCTTACTCTTTCATGGAGATGGGTCCTGCCTTTGAGTGGTTGGAAGGAAAGGATGCCAGCAAAAATGGCTAATCCTTTTCCAGCTGCAGTAAATTGACGACCGGCCAAAGCCAAGCGAAAACCGCCGCAGTTAAAATGATTTTAGCATCACGTCTGCGGCTGAAAATGGAGCGGCAGTTTATAAAAGGACCTGTGGATCAATGAAAAGGAGATTATAGTGTATCTGAATATTAATACGGCATCGCTTCTGTACTTTCTACCCCTCCCCCCTTCCTTTCTTTAGATCTGCAGGATTGAAATGAAATGTTTTGAGCTCTTCAAGCTGACTCATCAGAATCCTGAAGCGTTTTTTTAAATGACGGTAATTTTCTAATGTTTTCATTTGTACGTATGGAAACACTTGTGTGTGTGCGCGCGTGTGCGCGAGTGTTTACGTGTGAGAGACATGCGGCTGAATGACAATGCAGATCCAGAAATTGGGGAAGAGGGTTTGTGCTCTCAAAACGTAGATGAAGTTTGAGCCGACTTGGGGGCATTTGCTGAGAGCCAGAGGTGGAGATGAGAACGTGGAGAGATGGCCAGATTTGCCTGTAAATAATCACTACATCTACTGTAACGCTTGAGCTGCATTTTTTTTTTTTCTTCTGGTAGCAGTTGTTTGAAAGGGGAACTCTCTGCAAACGTGGGTTACAGGCGTCTCCTAGCGGCGAAAGCAGCATAGGGCAAGCCAGAGAATTTTGCTTTGGAGCTCTCCTTCGGCAGGGCTCGCCTGTTGGGGGCTCTGCAGGATTTCTTGGGTCGCCGAGGCCTCTGTACGCGCCGGCGACGCGAGCCCGGGTCCTCTAGAGGTCTCGCATCTCTGACTTCTAGTCTCCGAGGCGCCCCGGCCCCCACGAGAAAACGCTGGGGTCTTCTGCCGCGAAGGACAGACCCGCGCCCGGCCGCCCGCCTCCCTCTAGGCAGCCCCAGCCAAGGGCAATTGCAAGAGCATTTAGTTCGGGCCAAGATTCAGATACTGGGGTTGTCTTCTCTACCTCCTTACCCTGGAACCATTAAACAGCCTCACCCCGTGAACCACAAAACAAATACTTTAAAGGTTCCTTTAAAAAATGCCTCCTAAATGTAACCAGTTTACTTTCTACCTTGCTGTAAAAAATCAACCAGATTTTTTTCCTGTTTCCTTTTTTTTTTTTCACTCTCCTTTCGGTAGACCCCAGAAATTAGTGAGGCCGTATTATATAAATAACAACCTCGGTGGTGGGGTTGACGACCTCTTTGAGTGCAGAATATCATGTGTACTATGTGTACTGTTTCCCTCGACGTCCCCCCCCCCCCTTACTGGAACCGGAAGGGAGAAGCAATCTCTAGGGAACAGAACCCCCCTCCAGGAGCGCCAACCAACCATCTGGGCCAAAACAAATTTCATCCTAAAACAGAGGGAGATAGTAGTTATTATTTGGAGGAGGGTTATCAAAATCAATTTTCATAGAAGTCCTGCTTGGTGTATGAGAGTGATAATGCATATTCGTCTATTTCACCGGGCTCCAAATGCAGCAGAAATGGCGGGGTGGGGGCAGCTAAGGATCCCACAAAGGAGTTCTATACACAGAGTTACAAACTTTGAAACTAGGCAACGGGTTGCTTTCTTCCCTACCCTTTTCTAGAAAAGGCAGGAGGGAAACAAGTTTGTTAACCAGCGTTTGGATAAATGAGTGTTTGCAATGACTTAACTTGACTTGAAAGCAATTTGTTTCTAAATCCTTTTATTATTGCAGTGTGCCCAGAGCTTTGAGAGAAGATTTTTTTTTAAAGAAATGGGAGAAAAAAATTAAAATTGTCAATAAGGAGTCTTTCAAACACTAGGCTCGGCCAGGATTGAGCTGGATGGTTCCTGGCACTTGTCATTCCCAGCAAGGAACCAACACCAAGGACCTGGACCACGTGGCATCTCTTATGGGTAACCACGAAATAAGATTATTTGTCGTAGTGTGACCTAGCTTCAGGTTAGGAAGGCAAGGCTTTGGAGCCAGGGCCACAGACACTGCGTTAGTTTTTGTTTATCTACAGTAAAGAGTGTATGTTGACTAGAGTTTCTGGAAAAGATTTGTGGCATATGCTATTATAAGCATTCAGCTAACTCTTTAGTTACTGTGCTCTAATGCTTTGAACCCAACAGAGAACAAACCAATCCATGTTTTGGGGACCGAGAATACTAGATATTCTATTAGGCATTACTTGATATTCAAAGTAGCAATGTTCTTCTCCGTTTTGTTTAACCTGGTTGATATTAGTGTGGCTTCACATGTCAGTGTCTTTTCAGTTTTCAGACAGGGCCAGCATTTTGTTAAACTCTAAACAGTGAATTAAAGACACTGATGAGCTGAAGCAACCCTCTAATGCAAAATGACAAATTGCACTTAAGCAATACATGAACAAGAAAATGATTTATGGATTTTTACAATGGTCTGAGCAAATGAAAGCAACATGAATTATACATCCTAATGCCCACGATATCATTTTCTAATAATACTGTCTCGGTTCAGATGCTATACTCTCATCCTTTCTATAAGAGATATCGATCAAAAGAAGTCCAGGAATATTTTTAAATTAGGCAATGGTGTTTGATACTGGTTCCAAATATATATATTTTTCCTAAGTATAGGGGGTCGTGATGAACATTGAACATACTAACATTCTTGTCAGCTCCTTCACTTATTGTGTCTTTTAGTGATAGAAAAAAAAAGTCCTTTGGAAATTTATGTTTTGTTCCACACCTTTCAGAATGCAAATAAATAGATCTGATTTAGAATGACAATCTTTATTACATCATGACCTCTTTTTCTGAAGATCAAAATGCATTACCTCATCTTACTCTTTTCCTTTATTGCTTTGGATATTGAAAAATCTAATTTCTCCAAAGTGTCACTTATCCTCTTCATATTTGTCTTATCCTATTTTTTCTGTGCATTGTTTAATTTCTTAGTATGTTAAAGACACACTTGAGTCTTTAGTAGACTAAAGAGAGTTAGTAACAAGGTGATATGCCTTCGTCTTTTTGGCCTTAGTAGACGAAATAGATCTTATGGCTGTCTTAAATTACAAATAAATAAATAAATAAATAAATAAAATTTTATCTCGTGCTTGTTTTCGAGTCTGAAAAATAAAAAAAAATCTAGTTACCTCTGTGATATGATGAGTACTTAGCATTTTTATTTAACCATTTGTGGCTTATATAAGTAAGTATTTTAGGGTGTGTGTAGAATTTTAAGTGAAGATAGTGTCTTTTCTGTATTACATGCTCAACCACAGAAAGGTTCTAATTGCCCAGAGGCCTCTAGAGTTGCATTATTAGACTTAATCTTAATTATCCAGGTTTACTTAAAAAAGAAAAATAAAAAAAAAAGAATCCCAGCTTCGGCTTTTGACAGCATTAATAATCACTCTTACTGAAAGATTACTAAAATCAATGATGTGATTAGGTTTGTAAATAAGAACTACAAGACATCACATTTGAAAAGCCAGCTGCTTTGCTAACAGGGATGATGTGTGGGTTTTACTGATGGGGCCCCGAGGTAGAAATGAAGCTTTAAACATTAAGGTCGATATAGAACAATTTCAAAAATTAATTGCAAGCCCTCATTAAGTTTACATGAATAAGAGAAAAGGTGTCTAGAATTCTCTCTTTCTTCATTCCCAGTGGGTTGCTTCTTATTTGACAGTGATACAGTCAGCATAATACTAATGTGTGCCTGGGCAAGTATAAATTGTTTTCTTAAGAGGAAGCCCCTTGATTTTATAAATACAAAATGAGATTACCCAAATTGTAATTAGGGTTACAAGTCATAGAGTTATTTTCTGAAGAGTTTTGAAAACCTTATTGGAGATAGACACCGTGGAAAGAATATCAAACATAGAATTATATTAGTTATTAGAATTACAATAGTAAACAGAACAAATAGTAAAATAATTACTTCAACTTAAAAAAGCGTCTCTCTCAGTTTGACTGCCTGGTTAGTATAACTCTTTGTATATGAGACTTATTTTTCATGAGATCTTATTTGATAGGCTTGGCAATTCTATACTGTAAAATGCTTTATTTTATTGTAATTTCACTTTTTTTTTTAGGTGAAAGTGACTAGTGGTTTTTAAACAGCCAATGTGTGCCAAGTATTCTTACGTAAGTTATAACATTTTCCCCCATATCTATAAGTATTATCATCCCAATAATATAGATAAGGATACTAAGGATGTTCAGAATTTAAATAACTCATCAAATTAATACAAAATTCAAATCTAGGCCTTTTGGTGCCTAGGCTCATTTAATGCACTATGATGTTTCTCTTCTCTATCTGAGTTGGATTTACTTGGGAGGTAAAACAAAAAGTGAATTAATTTAAAGATGGGCTTTACTCAGATTTTGTACTGACAGGAGTACTGGTTTTATCCTAGTCAAAACGGCTGGTATGTCATTGAGTTGAGCCGTGGAGGAATTCATACATATATTTGAGGGGTTTTTTTTTTTTTTTGAGGTTTTGTCAGGAAACCAAAGCTTGAATATGTTTTCTTACAAGTGAATGAGGTTGTAAGCAACCATCTCTTTCTCATGCAGAAATGCTTAATATGAGAGTCATAGATTTTAGTAACTGAAAATGGAAATTGATAACACAAATGCGTCCAAAAGGAAGGAAGCTCTGCTCCATCCATTCATGAAAAACACCATGTTGATCAATGGTCCCTGAAGCATTGCCTTGCTCACTTAATCAGAGGTTAACAGCCAGGAAAAAACAAGAAGAACACCCATTTTACACAATGCAACTGTTAGTGTTTATTTGTATATATTTCTGAACTGATCTTTAATTTAAAAGGGAAACTTTGTTTCATTAAGCAAAATTTCAGCTATCCCTTTATACTAATTTCTTCAATGTTGCTCAGAAAAGATTGTTTTAATTTGAAATTTCTGGCAATTAAACAATTAAATTTAGTTTACAATCTTGTACCAGTAGAAAATGGAAGGAAACAAAAATAACTTTAAATATGCAAAGAAATAGACAAAAGAAGATGATTGTGAAGTCTTATTTGCTTACTGTAGGTAAAATATGTATTGCTATTTTGGTAATAAGTATTGACAGAAGAAAAATATCATACTTCTTTTAAAGGGTGCCCAGTAATTCAGAGTATGTGTAATGTGGGCCCTATAAGGTATGTTCTATATCTTACTCACTTTGGAAGGCACCCAACTGTGGCAGGCCATGATACAGTATGTTAAGAAGAACATAAACTTGAGAATTAAACCAAATTGGGCTCAAATCTCTGCTTCTCCAAATATTTGAACTTTGTCAAATTCCTTGACTCCTCTGAAACTGTGTCAAAGTGTGCCAACTGTTCTAAACATCTGTTAAAATATATATTGACCTTATTGAGTCAGTGTGAGGCTTAAACTGAAATGATATATGTAAAATTCTTGGCCCACAGTAGACTCTCAGTAAATGTTAAGTATTATTATGGCAAGGTGTTTTGAATGAGGTAGTCCTTAAATAAGATATTTATCGAGAATAATTCTCATTGATTTTCCTGGTGGTTTTATTTCCTTTATGAAACACAAACTAAAGTATTTACTTTGAGGTGCAAAAACAATTTTACATTGTCCCTATTTTGCAGGAAATTATCATTTTGAAGACTAGATGCAAATAATAAATGAAGAAGACTAACTAAATTTTAAGTGGACTTCAAAACATAAAAATCAATAATGATCTTTTTTCATAATCATGTTGTTTTAACACTGTTATTTGCTTCCTTCCAGATAAGTTTCAATTTTATGTAAGTTTAAATTTATATGATAAAACTGATATATAGATAGATTTTTTAAATCATTTTCATAGGAACATGGCTCTTTCATTGTAAACTATTTTTCTTATTTTCATATTTATTAAAATTTTAGAATTAAAAGACTCTTATTTGATAGGTTCACTTATTTTTCTTCCAATTCCTTGATGTAAAATCTTAATACTTACTACTCTATTCATGTCAGTGAGTACTAAAATTCTCAAAAGTAAAAACAAATTGGTGAAAATCAGTCACTTAAAATAGAATGAATTTATTAGAATGACCAATTCTGAGCCTCAAGCCTCAGTTGTATTTGACTTTCTCTTCAGTGTTCTCCTCCTTGCCATTTTTCTGCCTTGTATTGCTGTTATTATTATTCTCTTTAGTAAGTTAAAAGTTTAGAAGCAAAAACATGCATTGGTGCTGGTGTGATGGGAGCACAGCCATAGGAATACTGAGAGAACGGAAAATAAATGTAAATCATAGATGTATTACTAAAGGATTCATATTTAATTTGATAAGTAAATAATACGCGTACAAAGGTTTAAGTAACTTTATTAAACAGTATGGAGAAACATATAATGACTATGAGTGTGAGTGCACAGGGAGTAAAGCAAAGACTAGAATAAAGTTAATTAAGCAAAGATTTCTAGAGAAGGACAGTTTTGTTATGATTTTAAAGGCAACAATGATACAGATTAGTGGAAAGAAAGATCTGAAGTGGGTCAGAGGGACTTGCACAGCCAAGAAGTGAAGGCATCGATGGCAAAAAGCTTTTCCATAGAGATCATAAAAGGAGCAAATTAATCTTCTCAATTATGAGTCAATATCCCAATTTTGGACCCAGTTCCTCAAATCTATGATGCCAGGCAGCCTCAATTTTGTTTCCTTTGATTTGTTCCCTCTATCCCCACCCGCAAGAACTTGGCCAAATTTAAGATCAGTGGAGGTGGGTGAGATCCTCATTCAGCATTTGCACCTGAGTAATGTTTCTGGTATGGCTTGGGCTCATAGCCAATGTTCAGACTTAGAATTATGATAAAACCTAATATTATTGCTCATTCATTAGCATATATATTTGAGAACCTTGGCTTCTGCTGCTAATTTAATGGGAAAGTGCTGATTGCTGATTTTCTCAAAACATTTTTTTTGAGCTTGTCCAGTCAGACTACCAAACCAAGTACCTAATTTAATAAGAATATATTTTCATTCTGCTGGACAAGACAAGAGAGAGAAGTATTGTTAAACCCAAGGAATCTAGCAAGCGTTCAGCTGAATGGTCACATTTTTGATGGATTTTTTGGCTACATAGCTAGTCCTTAATAAAGATGTGCTGACCAAATGAATGAATGCTTGACCTTTTTAACTTTCTACTATTATTCATCTTAAAAGATATTTCTAAGATATTATACTCAATTCTACAAGCTATGTTTCTAATAATCTGTATTTAAGAAAGATCTTTTTAAGTTGGTTATTTCAAAGAAAGCTTACCTCAGATGGAAAATCGACTTTCCATTACAAGTGTGTTAAAAACACTTTATCCCTTGCTTACAACTAACAAAATGCACTGTTTCTCTCTCCAAACTACTACTCAAACGTTATAGGTCATCTTATGATTTACCTTGTTTTCTAATATTCATCTTATTTCATATATACTATGTTGACTGTATAAGCATAAACAGAGTAAGTAAAATGGCCAGTATTCTGAATTGTTTTATTCTTTTTATGAGGTCAAGATGACAAGCCAAGGAGTCCTCTGTGATTAGAATATTAGATGTTAAGAGAAAATATGGCTGAGATGGGAGGAAATTTGCTGCCTTTAGGCAGAAACAGGAGATCTTGTAATTTAGAAGTGTGTTTCAGGGTGAAGTTAAAAAGGAAGGTTGATTGACTTGGTAGGTTCAAACCAATGTCCTGAATTTCAAGCAAGAGGGGGACACTGCCTTGTTTCTAGCTTCTTTGTTCTTTAGTCTCCGGAAATGGAGGTATGTCAGTTCAACAAAGGCTCTTGGTAACCAGAGTATATTTTCTTTTATCTTTTTTTATTCCCCAGCTTCCTTATTCCATAACTGACAAACCCATATTGTTTGTGGTTTCGATATTATAGAATTTGAAAATACTTAATTCTGTAATCAGGTTAGTAGTTATTTCATACATGCAGGATTAAGAGTAATCCTGTGAGGCTTTCCCAGGCTAATAAAGCTGGGATTAATTGGCCAGAATGAAAGGGTTTAAGTGTAAATGTAAAGTACACACATGTACACACATGTAAGAAAAAAAAGGCATAGTGGTTAAAACTATGTTTTTGTTATAAGCAAGTATGCATGTATCAGTGAAACAGGATAGATCACACAAAGTCAGATGACACTATATGTAGAGGTTTGCTTGGTTTACAGTGGAGAAGTGGCATGTCTGTTGTGAAAGGAAAGGTTTCATTTTCACCTTACACAATATACAAAAACAAATTCTAGATTGACTTGAGCATTAAATAAAAATAGAAAGTCATGGGAAAACTAGATCTATAGTAGTACCTGTCAACATAGATAAAGAGGTAAACTGAGGCAAACTTGAATTACCAGAAATTGAGTTTATTCGGGAATGGCAGAGGAATTGCAATTCGGTAACCAAAACTGTAGCAGCCTACAGTAGGTGAGTCTGCTGAGGATTTGGGGCAGGCTGTATTGATGGACAAGGAGTCCAGCCAGAGGTCAAGCAGTAAATTCATTGGCTTGAGGATGGGGAGAGATTCTTGACGGATGTTCATTGGTCAGGAGATACGTTTCAGTCTTCTGTAAGACAGGCATTTATGGAAAAATCAGTCTCTCCGTTCTTGTTTTGTTTTGCTGAGGACGCATGCGAGGGATTCTCAATTTAATATCCTCGGGGTCCATTTTAGATTGAAATCCTTTCCCATATGGAATGTTTACATCACTCCAGATATGTATTTTGAAAGGGCTTAACACTGTGCTGTTCAGGTCTACTCCTGAAGTGTTGGAAAAAGACACTCCCCAAACAGAAGTATCTGAGGGACAGCAGAAATGGGAAGCTCTTCCCGTGATGCTAAGCACTCAGTGGAGAGCAGTAGCCCTCTCACGGGAGTTACTCCTTAGTACCCTCTGTCAGCTGAAACTGCTGTTGGTAGCAACAGGTAGAGATTCTGGAAGGGGAAATCAGGCTTGAAAGTTTTGACCTACTGCAACCTGAGTCTCTTTTGACGTTAGTGTGGGAAGAGAGGAAATTAAGACTGTTAGCCTTTGAATGTGTTTCTCATTATCAGGAAAAACAAATCCCAACTTTTGCTTTTGGGATCCCAGAAACTCAAGGAAGAGCCTTCTTGCAGTTGGAGAGTCCTTAAATACTAACCTGTTTTTCAGATTCCAAGCAGAGAGTGTTTTTTGGAATACTGGAGCCTTTTTCTAATATGCAAAGATAGCTTTGACAATCTCTTCTGATTGGAAAACTAAGTTACTGGCTGTTTTATGGTTATTTATTTCTTACTGAAATTTACATTAGAGTTTTTCTAAACTTTTTTGTTTCTTAATTTATCTTTTAGTATCTTTTTCTTTATCTGATTAGCTATATTTTTTCTAGAATTAAAATATATAAGATTGTGTTTATCTCTGAAAGACAAAGAATAAGTAGATAGTAACCTAGAACACATGATTTATTTATTTAAAAAATCTATTGATCTTTATCATGATTCTTTTTAATGTCATGTCAGAATTAAGCTATGTTGAGATGGGAAAATTCATTTACAATTTTAAAATGAATACCTCTTTAAAAAAATACTTTTCTTCCTCTCCCTTAAAGTTAGTAGTTTAAGTTTAGCTAGCATTCTCATAACTTATGTAATATTTTTATGTTTAAAATAAGGAGATGTACGAAAGCATGAGATCTGATTCATAGATCAAAGATGGTAACAAGAGCTCCTCTATTTATTTCTGTGCTGTTAAATTTTACCCACATATGAAGAAAAGTTTTAGATGTAAAGGCAGAAATGTTATTAATGTTAGAGTTTTATTTCAACTTTAATAATTTTGCATTAGATGGGTAAAGGAAGAAATAAAGGCCATGGCATTTAAGGACATCTTTTTTAATATGGTGCTGTTGTCTTAAATTGCTGACGTTCACACAGTCCCTGATGAATTTTTATTGCGTTCTGGGACATTTGTGAATTTCCTTCTTTTATCTGAGAAGAATGTTATACTTCAGTGAATTATAGGTGGCAGTATACACAGCTAAATTCCCTGTTTTGTTGCAGGTATATACAAGATATTTCAATTGCTTACAATTTTATATTGAAGCTTTTTCTCATTCTAGCCCCCATTCTAAACTCCCTCCTCCTTTTCGTTGTTAATATAAGAACACCAAAGAAACTCTCTCAGATGAGAGAGTGCTCTTAGGAAGTATTTTAAATCTCAGGTTCATTCTGAAAGATAGTTAAGAAGTTTTATTAAAAAAATGTTATTAAATAAAGATACATTCAAAAGAGTATAATATTCACTGACAAGTTGATTTAAAATTAAAATCAGAATTTTAAAGCTGAAAGGATTCTTAGAATTATATCTCAAACTAGCGACAGAAAATTTTCTTATTGTCCCTTTACATTTTCTGTTTTAAAAGTCATAAGCAAATGTGCCTTGATTGCCAAGTTGTAAAAATGCACTACTTTCTTGATTTACTATCCTGAGCTGTGATATCTATCTTTTGAGAATGTTAAGTATGAAATTGCTGTTCTTTATGCGTGATATCCACGCTGAAAGCATTATATTCAGGAGGATGATAATAACGTTATAAATGATGTAGAGAAACAGAATCAACCTTAAATTGATGATCGATAGCCATACCGTGGCATCTCATGGAGAATAAGAACATCAGGCATAACAGCAGTCCATTCCTTCCAGAGACCTTCACAAGTGCAGCACAGGTTTCATGAAGGTAACTCAGAAGCATGCTGGGGAGGCTGGCCCG